ATAAGCAGGCTTCCTTTTGGGCAGAGAGACCAATGTGGAGTTGGATCCCAGGACCCTGGGATCATGACCTGAGCCAAAGATAGAAAATTAACTGAGCCACGCAGGTGCCTGTATTTTCAACTTCTTGAGGAACCTCCATAATGTTTTCCAGAGTGGCTTACATTCCCATCAACACTGTAAGAAGTTTCCGCTTTCTCAACATCCTCACCAATATTTGTTATTTCCTCACTTGCTAATTTCAGCCATTTTGACTGGTGTGAGGTGGTAGATCAATGTAGTTTGAGCTCTATTCTCCTTGTGTTGAATAATGTGCAGCATTTCTTCATGTCTATTAGTCTTTGGATGTGTTCTTTGAAAAATATCTGCTCATGTCTGTTCATTTCTTGACTAGATTAGTTTTTTGGGTGTTGAGATTGGTAAATTCAGTATATATTTTGGATACCAGACCTTTTTATCCAGGATGTCATTTGTGAGTATCTTCTTCCATTCTGGTAATTGACTTTGAGGTGGTTTTTTTTTTTTTAACTGTTTCCTTTGCTGTGCAGCATTTTTTTTTTTATCTTGCTTAAATCCCAATAGTTCTTTTTTGCTTTTTCCCCCTTGCCTATGGAGATGTGTCTGAGAAAATGTTGTTGCAGCTAAGGTCCAAGAGATTTCAACCTGTATTCTTCTCTAGGATTTTGATTTATTTCTGTGTTCTATGTAGGTCTTTCATCCATTTTGAGGGTTTTTTAAAATTTAATTTTATTTTTCCAGTATTCCAGCATTCATTGTTTACGAACTACATCCAGTGCTCCATGCAATATGTAACCTCTTTAGTACCAACAACCAGGCTCACCTAACCCTCTACTCCTCCACAATCCTCAGTTTCTTTCTCAGAGCCTGCAGTCTCTCATGGGTCATCTCCTCTTCCAATTTCCCCCAATTCACTATTCCTCCATGTTATTCCTTAGGCTCCACAAGTGAGACCATATGATAATTGGTCTGCTCTCTCTGCTTGACTTATTTCACTCAGCATAATCTCTTCCAGTCCCATCCATGTTGATACAGAAGTTGGGTATTCATCCTTTCTGATGCAGGTATAATACTCCCTAGTATATATGGACCATATCTTCTTTATCTGTTCATCTGTTGAAGGGCATCTTGGCTCTTTCCACAGTTTGGCAACTGTGGCCATTGCTGCTATGAACATTGGGGTACAGACAGCCCTTCTTTTCACTACTTCTCTATCTTTGGGGCACATATGCAGTAGTGCAATGGCAGGGTCATAGGGTAACTCTATTTTTAATTTCTTAAGTTAATTCTTCCAATCCAAATGCAAGGTATATCTTTCAATATATTTGTGTCACCTTCATTTTCATCTACCATTGTCTTACAGTTTAGGTCCTTATCCTTTCTTTGGATTGCTTAATCTATCTTTCTTTCTTTCTTTCTTTCTTTTCTTTCTTTCTTTCTTTTTCTTGCATTTTATTTTTTTCGTATTTTGCGTGCAATTTTAAATGGGATTGTTTACTTAATTTCTTTTTCTGATAGTTAATAAATAGTATAAGAATACAAGTATCCTGCCATCATTTTACTGAATTCATGACTTAGTTATAGTAGTGTTCTCGTGGAGTCTTTAAAGTTTTTTCCTTTTGGTATTATGTTGGTTGTAAACACTGGTAGCTTTATTTCACTTACAATTTGGCCTTTATTATTTTCTTTTCTGATTGCTTTGGCTGGGACCTCCAGTACTATGTTTAATAAAAGTGGTGAGGGAATCCTTGTCTTTTTCCTGAATGTAGCCAAAAAGTTTCAAGTTTTAGTGTGATGTTAGCTGTGGTCTTGTCATCCACAGCCTTTGCTGTGTTGAGGTACTGTCCCTCAGTATCAACTTTGTTGATTTTTCTTGTGTCACAATTTGATTTTGGATTACATCAAATACTTTTCTGTCCTTCATTGAGATGATCGTGATTTTTTTCATCTTTTTTTAATGTGATCTGTTACATTGACTTGAAGATTTTGAACCACACCTGCAGCCCTAGAATAAATCTCACTTGATCCTTTTACATGATTCTTTTAATGTATTGCTTGATTTGATTTAATTTTTTAAGGATTTTTGTACCTGTTTATCAGAAATATTGGCTTGTAATCCATCTAACTTTAGCAACAAATAAGTTGATAGTTTTTTAAAATTGCTTTTATTGGACAAAACAGAGGGATGAGGTTGTAGGGCATCCTAAACCTGAGAGGAAACAAAGCACAAGTATTGGCTCATTTAATGTTAACCTGAAAAGGAAGTAATGTCTATACAGGTATGTATAATATTTTAACAAATTGCTGAAGGTTTGATAAAAGTACTTGTGACATTATAAAACACATGCAACTAAAGACATAAAAGGAAGTTCAAATTTACTTGACACTTTTTCTGTATAAACCTCACTAAGCTAAAGCTCATAGGAGAAACTGGAGAGATCCCTCCTGTGTAACAGTCTTTTGTTTAAGATTAATTTTATTTTATTTTACTTATTTGAGAGAGGGAGTGAGAGAGCATGAGAAGGGAGAGGTCAGAGAGAGAAGCAGACTCCCTGCTGAGCAGGGAGCCTGATGCAGGACTTGATCCCAGCACTTCAGGATCATGATCTGAGCCAAAGGCAGTCATCTGACCAATTGAGTTACACAGGCACCTCTGTGGAACAGTCTTAAAAGGCACACAAATATCACTGAAGGAATGCCTGAACTCTTCTTTTAAAAAAATTATAAACCCACTGAGGGAGAAACAACAAATGTTTTAACATTTGAAATAGTGAATAACCACTTAGAAGGGACAATGTAAGAGAAAATTACTCTAACTTTACAGAAGTGGAAAACCATCATACACTTAGACTTCGAAAAGTCTTATCCCACCGGTGGGATACGATAGCAACAAAGGGGCCATTTGCAACACACAGGCACTAATTTAAGGTTGAATATGAATCAGAAAAAGAAGAAAAAACACGGAGAACATTCTCTCCAATCCCACAACTACCCCCTCTCAAATAAAGACTGCCACAGATGACAGAAGTTACTACTGGGGGAAAAGCAAGAGAATTGAAAGAGATATCCAAGAATAAAAGAGCCTTGGTAGAAGTCAGTGTTTTCAAAGGAGAAGTTAGTTCCACCACTATATTAGAGTAAAACAAATGAAGGGAAAAACAATGAAGTGGCTAAAACAAACTTAGTATCATCATCACCCAGTCACTCAAGCTGATAGGTAGAGATAGCTGACAGTCTCTGCCATGGTGGAAAGGAGTAGTGGTGAGGGAGCACCCATCTTCCCCAGCTGTGCAAGATTCTGGTAAATAAACCCATGTCTTTTATTGGTATTAAAAAGTTCTGCCTGTTCTGTTACTCTTTTCAAAAAACCAACTTATTTTTATGATTTTTCTATTTTATCCTCTATTTTGTTTGCCTCTGCTCTTTCCTATTTCCTTTCAGTAGCTTGAGGTCAGTTTTCTTTTTCAAGTTCCTGCTGTTATTGCTTTGAGAGCTCATTCTTTTTTGAATACGAGCATTTACATCTTTAAATTTCCCTTTGAGCACTGCTATACAGTATTCCATCATTTTATTTTCATTTGTATTCCTTCTCATTCACTTCCAAGTATTTTCTACTTTCCCTAGTGATTTATTTTTTAAAATTTATTTATTTTACATACACACAGAGAACATGTGTGAGGGGAGGGGCAGAGAGAGAGAAATCCTCAAGTAAACTCCCCACTGAGTGTGGAGCCAGATGCAGGGCTTGATCCTATCACCCAGAGATCATGACCTGAGCTGAAATTAAGAGTTGGATGCTTAACAGACTGAGCTACTCAGGCACCTTCTAGTGATTTGTTCTTAACCTATTGTTATTTAGGTGTCTGTTATTTATATCCATGTATTTCCTTTCTTTAGTGATTCTTAGCTTGATTCTATTATGTTTAGAGAAAGTATTTGATATGAGTTTAATTTTACATACATTATGTGTAAAAAAATATTTATCTGTATAAAAATATTTTGTGTACAGGGGCACCTGGGTGGCTCAGTGGGTTAAGCCACTGCCTTTGGCTCAGGTCATGATCTCAGGGTCCTGGGATGGAGTCCCACATGAGGCTCTCTGCTCAGCAGGGAGCCTGCATCCCTCACCACCCCACAGCCTGCCTCTCTGCCTGCCTTTCTGTCAAATAAATAAAATCTTTAAAAAATATATTTTGTGTACAAAAACATTATGCTAAGTGAAAGAAGCCAGACATAATAGCAATGTTATTGTGTAATTCTTTCCATGTTATATTTGAAAAGTAGACAAATGCACAAATAAAGTAGAAGACTAGTGGTAACTACATCATGGAGAATGGGGAATGAAGAATGATTACTTAATCATTCTTAATCATTATTTAACCATTGTTTTCTGGATGGAGAACATGTTTTGAATATAGATGTAGATGGTAGTCCCACAACATTGTGAGTATGCTTAAATACTACCAACCATATATTTTAAAATTTTTAGCCATTTGAACAAATTAAAAATGGCTAATTTTGTGTTTTCATTTCAATAGAAAATATATGTCTGAAGAATAGAAGATAAATGAAGGTATTTCTATTAGAGATACTATATTTAAAGTTTTACTGGAAAAATAAAGTTGAGATAATTTTTAAAAAGGGAAAAGTAGAAAGAGCATTTAAGCAAATATAATACTGATGAAAGCACATACAGACTGTGAAGTAGTAAAAATATAGAAAAGATTGAGAAATTAAAAGGAAGACACTCTTGCTTTGAGGATTTGGAGGCTTTATTTGGAATTTGCATCCCAGGAGGCAGTGAAAAAGATAACATATTCCTAACTGGAAACTCAGATGATTTAGAAAATTACTGTTGAATATAGGACATAAGTTTAGGATATAAGAAAAGATAGACTTTTTTTAAGTTAAAAGTTTGAATATAACAGTTGGTTCTTATTAAAATCATATGTATTGTCCTATTATCTTTTAATTATTTTTATTAGGTAGAGGAACATGCCATCACCACACAGAGAGTTTTCCAAGACCGACAATATCAGATTGATGCTGCAATTGTTCGTATAATGAAGATAAGGAAAACACTTAGCCACAGTGTACTTCTGTCAGAACTGTATAACCAGCTAAAATTTACACTGAAGGTAAACAGATCTATCAAAAAATTCAGTGACATTGAGTACTTTTAAATAAAGCAAGTTTATAAAGTAATTTTAAATAAAAATTTATGTATAATGTGAGTTAAGTACTGTTTGTTAATGTGGTTATCACAGTGAGTAGAAAACAGGACTTATGTCCCTCTTTTGTTATACTTTACTGTATTAAATTATTGATTGTATCAATTTTTCAAACAGAAACAATAAATTACAACATTTAAAAAGTAACAGCAGAAAAAAATCAACTTTATGATCCAATTTTAAATATTTCCACTGTACCTCCATGATTTAGAGGCTCCTCCATCATGTATCTCCTTTATAGAGTACAGGAATTGCCTTTATTCCCATTGCTTATGTATAATTGAATACTTCACAATTAGCAGAGAGGACTTTGATCTCATTAGGAGATTCCTTTCTCTGTCTTTGCCTCTTATAAGGATAGATCTTGATGACATTTAAATATTACAATCTACCAAATTATATAGCAATATTTGACAAATTATTTCTTGCTATCATTTTAAAAAATTGAGAGGTTTTTTTAAAAACACAGTTTACAGCTATTGTGTTTGTTTCTTATAGCTTTGGTTTTTGAATAAATTTTTTGAGGTAATATTAAAAATTTCAAGTAACTAATGACTCATTGAACACTTTATCAAAGTGGTGATGTACTATATGTTGGCTAACTGAACCTAATAATAATAATAATAATATTATAAATGAAAAAAAATTTTTAAAAACCCTAAAATGTCAAAAAAATTCAAGCATTTTCCCGCATTTCTTCTTTGAAATAAAGTGAAAAATTGTTAGTAGTTTTATATGTCCTAAATGATCAAAATATAGTTTCTACAAAACATGTCAATTTCTAGACGGGTTATGGCTTGGCTTATAAAGTCTGGAAACTGTTAGCTAGGATTTCTTTTCTTTTCTTTTTTTTTTTCTCAGTTGGCTATGATTTCAATTGCACTTTATTTCATCTCTTTCTATTTTGTGACTCTTGGCAAGTTTACATAATATGTTTTATCTTAGCTTCCTCATGGAAAATGATAATTAACAATTTATTCTAGTGTTATTAAGACAAGAGAGTGACCAAAGTATAGTAAAGTGCTAAGGAAATTCTAGCTAGGCTGCTACATTATCCTTGTTGTACTCCTGATTTTTTAAATTTAAAAGCTGTTTCTTCTCTGAGGAAAAATTAAAAAAAAAAAAAAAGAAACACAAACTTTTGAAGTCTTTACATGTTCTCTACCCATGGCTCAGTTGGGTGCCTATTGTGCTTTAGTAAATTATGGAATTACTTTCCTTAATGTGCATTATAGTCAGTGCGATCTCTACATTCTAACTGAATGTGTGCCTAATAGAAACAGTTGTGCCTAAGGTATTAACTGTCTTCTGCATTCTAGAACCTTTGCTATATGGTAGTGGTTAATGAATATAACTGCTTTTTCTCTGCATTGTTATTAAAGAAATTGAAAGTATGATTTTTTTAACTTTTATTCTATTCCTTATGTATTAATTGTGCTTTAATCTTATTTTGTACTTTTCTTATGCGTATCTAGGTTTCATGGTAGTAATTTCCTTTAGTTAAGAAATTTATTGTTTCCTGAGAAATATGGATAATAAAGTATGATGTATAAAATGTAATCATTTGGGATTTTTTTGCATTTGAGGTAAGAATAGGAAATATTGTGATATCAGTTTTACTAACCCTAATAATTTACTTTGTTTTGTAGCCTTCTGATCTGAAGAAGAGAATAGAATCCTTAATTGACAGAGACTACATGGAAAGAGATAAAGAAAATCCAAACCAGTACAAGTATATTGCATGAAGCTCTGGCATTAATTTGAATATCTGACACTATGCCTACTTTTCGTAGGTGCCTCATGGTCTTGTTAATTGATTAAAACATTGCACTGATATTGGGTTAAAACAATGCATTAAAAATACAAATGCAGAATGAAAATTTTCATCAGCATTCTCTGTTAATGTATACAATTTTCTGAATGACAGTTTTTAATATATTTACAGTGCACTTAATGATCTGAAACTTTATGGAATATTTCATACAGTTCACACTCTATCGTTCATTCCAGTATAGTTCATATTCATTGCATGTAATGTATGTTAGTTTAATAAAGAACAAGTTTCATGTAGAGGAACCTAGAAACAAACACATTTAAGTGTAAAATGGCAAGATTAATTATATATCTGGATGGTTTAAATTCTGTATGAACTTAGGAATTAACATGACTTATTTGTCCTTATGTTGGTTTTCCTGGCAAAATTAGTCATGTAATAATGTAAAACATCTAATATTACAGCATGTAATCAATCTAAAAACTTACCTGTAATATTAAAAATAATTTTAGACATCTTTATTTTTAAATTTCAGACGTCTTTAAAACAATTTACTTCAGTTACAACACACGTATATATATAAAATAGTGGCAAAATATTATTTGAAATTTACCATTTTAACTTCTTATTATAAATTTTGGCTTATTTTTTTATTTTGTGTAAAAATAGATATGACTATCACTATTCTTTTCAGGTTCCATTTGTATGGAATTTGTTTTCTATCTTTTGATTTTTAGCCTGTGTGTGTCCTTAGATAAAAATATCTCTTCTCAGTAGTATATAGCTGGAAACTATCTTTTAATTAGGAAATTCAAGTCATAATACATCTAAAGTAATTAGAGGTATAAAATAATTACTATTGCTCTTTTCTTTATTTGTCCTCCCTTTCCTTCCTTCTGCTTTCTCTTGTGTTTCACAGATTTTTTTTGTAGTAGAATATTTTCATTCCCTTCTCATTTCTTTTTAAGCATATTTTCAAAAGCTTTTGCTTCCTTTCATTGTTCTTTGACATGTGAACTCCCATCAGCATTTTGTATACCATATCAGGTGGAGAGTTTTATCATCTTTTGTTTACTAGCAATGCCTTAACTTCTCAACGTGAGATATACAGTTTTTAGTAGTTAGCATTTTTCTATCAGCACCTTAATATATCATCCCACTCCTTAAAACTACAAGATATCTGTTCAGCAGTCTGCTAATATCCTAAGAGTATTATGCTTGCTGAACTAATTTTTAAAGATTTTATTTATTTATTTGAGAAAGAGAATGAGAGTGAGCGAACATGAGAGGGAAAGGTCAGAGGGAGAAGCAGACCCCCTGGTGAACAGGAAGCCCGATGCGGGACTCGATCCCTGGACTCCAAGATCATGACCTGAGCTGAAGGCAGTCGCTTAACCAACTGAGCCACCCAGGCTCCCCCAAATAGTATGCTTATATGTGAGAAATTGCTTTCATCTTGGAGCTTTCAAGATATTCTTTGTCTTTTGTGTGTCTTTGGACAGTTTGCTTATGATACATGTTGGTATAGGTGTGTGGGACTTATCCTGGTTGGAGTTTATGAAATTTTGAATTTTTAATGTTAATTCCTCTCATATTTGGGGACTTTTGGGCCATTTCTTCAAATACTTAAGTACCCCTTTCTTCATTGGTGACTTCCATAATACATATTTTGTTCTACTTAATGGTGTCCCATTATTCTTTTAGATATCCTCCATTTCCTTTATTCCTTTTTTTTTTCTTTTTTGCATCTCTGCCTCAGTAATTTCAGGGTTCTTATTCTGAGTTCATTTTTCTGTTCTCTGTACACATATATTTAGAAATAATTGGTAATGTTACCTATCTTATGGTGATGGTTAATTTGAAAAAAAAAATGTACGTTAAAAAAAAATGATCACTGCAGTATCTAGGTCACGTTCACCATGATAATAAATAGGACAGTTTTTGTCTTATGAGAACTTTTAAGATTTACTCTATTAGCATATATAGTAAAGCATTGTTAACTGTAATCTCACCATGCTGTACATTAAATCCACAGGATTTATTTTATCAGTAGAAGTTTTTTCTGTAAAAATTTTATCAGTAGAAGTTTTACTTTTGACCACCTTCACCCATTTCATTCCCTACCTGAAATACTATATTTGGCAACCACCAGTGTACTCTGAGTTTGTGAGTTTTTTTCTTTCTTATTTTCCTTTTAAAGTTTAAGTGTAATTTAGGTAATACAGAATTTACATTTCTCGGTTTCACCTAGCACAACACTCTAACGATCCATTTTGTTGTCACAAAAAGTCAGGGTTTCCTTAACTTTTTTTATAACTGAGTAAAATAAAACTAATATGATATTATATACATTTACTTTTATACATATATTTTGCAGGTGGCTGTTCAGTTTTTCTAATACCATTCATTGAAGAGATTATTTTGTCCCTAATACATACTTTTGGCTCCTTTTCTGTAAATCAGTTGAAAAAAATATATGTACATATATCTATTGGGGCTCCCTATACTTTTATGATATATATGTTTACCTGAATGTAATACTGATTTTATTACTGTCACTTTGTTTTTTTTCATATTTTATTAAATTTTTGTTTTTAAACTATTTTTATTGAAATAATTTTTTTTATTTATTTATTTTAAGACTTTTTTTAATTTTATTTTTTATAAACATATAATATATTTTTATCCCCAGGGGTATAGGTCTGTGAATCGCCAGGTTTACACACTTCTCAGCACTCACCATAG